TGGTCTTTATGGAGTGTGGGAACATAATAACTCTGCATTGGATGATGTGCCATCCTAATTTGTTCATTTAATAAGGAAATTGAGCTGTGTTTTGTACGTTCAACAATGTGCCTTTGTCTGCCTGAATGCCATTATCTGATATTATATAGTTACTCAGATGGCTGAGCTGTATGAATTATTCTATTGTAGATTAAGTTTAAAATTAATAAATCCATGTTTCTGCTTCCAAGCTAACTGGACTGAAGGTTATGAAAACTATTTAATATCTTTATTATCAAAAGCAGTATTGATGTGAACCTCTGCACTACTAAACGAAAAAAAATAAAGATTTTGCAACAGGTCATAAAATGAGACAGGCTGAACAATTTTAGCCATGCTAGTGGCATGGTTCTATGGAGGGCAATGTCGGTCTATTATCTGGTCTACCACTTTGGTCCAGACTGAAATATCTCAAACATTACTGGATGGATTTCTTTTAATTTTGGTATGGATGTTCATGGTTCCCAGAGGATGTTTTCTACTGACTTGGTTGATACCTCAGCACCACTGTGAACTTTATTTGTGGTTTTAAGTTAAATGGTGAAATGACAGTCAGATAAATTGCAAATGCCAGCATTCCTACTCACTAAATTTTGATATGAACATACATTATAGGCTTTGGGAGATTGGACAAATACATTACCTCAGTGACAAGCAATCAGCAGCTGGTTGGAAAATGTTTACATATCGCCCAACCCTAAAACATTACACCTCAGCATTAGCATATTAGCAGTCATTGAGCACATGTTAGCTTGCTGATGTTAGCATTTAGCCCAAAACACTAACTGTGCCTAAACAAGGCCTCAGTGAGCTGCTTGCATGGCCATAGACTCTTAGTCTTGTTGTTGTGTTATTGTGCAAATAAGAGTTAAACTCTGGTTATTCTCCTGTGGAAACCATGCCATTATGTAAAATTTGTGCATGGCTCATTATACCATGGTAGAAGTAAAGCTGATATGAAAGCCGTGAGAAGACTTGCTTGGTCACATATTGACTCATTAGCCCATTATCATCCTTTCATCTTCTATGATTTCTTCCATCCATTTTGTTTCCTTTTCTTGGAAACTAATACTGTTTAATTGAATATCAAAGAGGCTGTTGATGGTGTTAGATAATGTTATGTATGTAGCAATTATGATAAAAGGAGAAAGAGCTGAAAATATTTTATATAGAGAGCTTCTTCTGCTCAATGTCTCCATCAGTGCTTAAAAGTGTTGGCAGGCAGGTGATGAGTTGCTCTAATTGAATACTATAAATAAACAAGGAGTTCAAACGTAACATTACTGAGATTTAAACCTGATATTGCCAGGAGTACAATGAAACATTGTTAAAGAAATTCTCAGATTTATCAGGTATTTGTGCTTCATAGTGACAACAGGCTCTCCTCCTCATTTTCCTTTTACCTCCAGCATCCCTCATCCATTCTGAGGTGTTATTTGGCAGTAAGTAAACAAACAAGTTATTTATTGCCTTTTTATCAGTGTAAACAAACTAGTAAATTCATACCAAACACTTGAACCATTGGCAGACATTTGATCAATACATCTCAACCTAACAATTTGGGGTCTCCACTTTTGGATGCTGCATCCATTCAAACTGGCCACTGTGGTTGATGATGCTGTTGTCATGGAAGGGATGGTTTGGGAATAGGTTGTTGATTTAGTGCTGCTGGCCACACACTGTGTGTGTGTGTGTGTGTGTGTGTATGTCAGGGTCCATGCATGTGCGTGTCTGTGTGTCCGCCCTTGGGGCGTCTGTGTAAAGCAAGATTCAGTGCCTTTATTTCATTGTTGATTTATGTGGTGACGTTTGCCTTTGCGCTCACAATCACATCACTGGAAAGGGGGAAGAACCAGGATTCTGTGTGTTGTGCGTGTATGCCCATGTCTTTATGTCTCTGTGTCAGCATGCCATGGAAGTTGTTCTAAAATAACAGGGAGAGAACAGCAGACGTTCATCCATTATCCTTTCTCGTCTCTCTTCTT